TACAAAATAAAATAATACCATCAACTTACAATTAAATTAGACTTGGAATCAAAAAAACTGTGCTGTTTATCCTATAGTTTTAATGAGAATCATTTAAACAAATATAAAAAGAATTTATATAATGTAAATAAGGAAGAACAAGCTGAAGAAGAAGTAATTTCTGATTCTGACTGTGAATAAAATAAGCAAACGTAGGCATTTCCACGTTTCCGCTTCTTCTTTGTCCTTATTTTTATTTTTTTTTTTTCTATTAAGAATAAGATATTGGTCTATTTTTTTATTAGTTCCTAATTCTAAACCAAAGACAGTTTCGTTTTTTTAGAGGTATACTTTTTATGTTTTTACGAAAAATTGCAATTATATTATGTTACTGTTTGTATTTTTAGTAGGGTTTGTAGACAGTGTTTAAAAAAAAGTAAATTTATTTTGATAAACGGTACAAAAGGACTTTTGTGAAACCCTGTCACGACGATGCGTAAAACAGGACGGTTAGACAAGAAGTGACAAGATTTCCTCACACATGGATTTAGTACAATGCAGTTGAAATATAATATGCTGATACAGAGGATGTTAACATGTGACCTTGCTAGCAAGAACTACAAGTACCAAGTAATAATTATAATATTATATGAAATACAGGGTGATGACGGATATAACAACCCTGTATAATACAAGAAACCCGAGCTCAAAGGATGCGCTGGCTGGGACACGTTTACAGAATGCCATCATATAGGAATGCCAAAAAAGTGCCGCTTGGAAGATAAGACAGTGGAAGGAGAAGAGGGAGACCGAAGGAAAATGGTCGGAAAGTTTCAAAGAAACTAGAAATACTAGGCGTACCAGACTGGTAGGAAAAGTCCGAAAACAAAAAAGCGTAAAAGGAAGTTGTCCCTTCACGCCTAAAGTGCTGGATTATAAGTATATGGATAAAACTACTTGAATTGTCAGTTTGTTTGAATGGCCTTGACTCAATCATACTTCCTCCATTTCATTTCGGGTAGCCGATAATGCCACTATTATTGTTGTTACTATATCTCAAGCTATAAAACACATTACGTGCGTACGCTTGTTGATATATGAAGCCGAACATTTCATCAATCCGTAATTCGGAAATCCAAGCAGACAGTGAAATGCTAGCAAATCTGATAAACGACACAAAACACCATAATCGCAATATCAATCAATATTTCACTTCCAAAATATTAATAACAGCCAGTGTGTGTACACGTTATCTTGTTTGTGATAACAAACTAAGGCTGGCCATCCATAACATACACATTAGCAGTTAGTCAGTTAGTTTATATCAGAGAGTGATGTGGATATATAGTCGAGAAATAGGATCTGCAGAGTTATGGTAATACAATCAAATTTATTGTTTTCACTGGCATTGAGAGTACAACTGGACGAGTACAAGTGTAGAACAAATATTAGCCTCTGATATCATTTTGTTGACAAATGACCGCGCTCAATAAAATTTAGTTTTTCCCATCTGAAGTTATCTCCACATTATGGAAACATTCTTGCTTCGATAAGCAAGTAAAAAAGGTACAAGCATGTCGATGTAGGACAGATATGTTAATATAATTGAGAATATAGTATGTCCTGAAAAGGCTGTGAATCACTTTTTGCACCAACCAGGACAAGCTATTTTGCATTACGCATTATCAACTGTGCAGTTTTCAACTGTATACATGCTAGTAGTATAAAATTTCCCTTGATAAATACTTCGCGTTCGCACATGACAACAGGAAACGCATTGTTTTACAACGTTCTGTTTGCAATGTTTGGAATAAGATTAATCATGATATCGATTCTACATGATTGCTATAACATTATACAGTATGTTTAATTTTTTATTTTGATGCATTCACGTCTAAGCGCGAGGGAGTATTGTAATCGCGAAACATTTCGAAAATGTGATTTTAGGTTTTTTAGATATAGCAACGTAACATATATTTAGGGCCGATTTTACCAACAATAATATTGTGGACCAATAGGAAAATACCTTGTCGAAATGCAATGTGACGGAAGCTGTCAAAGGTCTCAGAATATCAGTGATTTCTATTAAAATGTTGAATAAAATCGTGAAAATTCGACTGTATTATAAACAAGAGAACTTTTTGATTCCAACATGATGCTTTTGTACAGAGAAAACAGGACAACTTTCATGTATTCTGATCTATGTTATAGGTGTACATTTGACCATCCGTTATCCCCTCAGCGAATGGGAATGGGAGAAATAATAGGTCGATTTTCTAGCTGTTAAATTTGGCAGCAGGTTTGGTCGTTTGTTAATTCATGGTAATCTCGAAAGTTCAATATACTGTGTGTATATGTGATCATTATAGCTACACATACCTGTTGAATTGTGCGGATTTGCAAGAAAACAGAATATAAAATGTATTCCAACCATTTCCTCGTCTCTGTTTACATCATAATAGTAATCATTTGTTATAAATTCATGGGTTAATGAATTTCTTTAAAGCAATCAAAACAGTATGGTCGTCCCCATCCTAAAACACCGATATGTGTAAAACATGTTAATCCCTACATCTCCGAGGTGCATAATGCAATTACTGTAGACATAGACCTAAAATTATTAGAGTAATTACTGAAAAATAAGAGCTAAAAGGAATTATAAATAGTGATAAAATATTGGTGGTTAAGGTTTTTGACTGGTGACTGGTGGGGATACAATATAGGGATGCCGACGATAGACGATACATTGATGTATCGAAAACATCGACACATCGGACATAGAACATCGATCTTTACGCATCGATGCTTTCATGACGATATATCGATATCGAGAGGAATCATAAGCATCCGTAACCGTAACCCCGAGTCTATCCTTAACTGTGCTACCATCTCTAAGCGAGAACTGGTAGCTTCGAAATTGAAAGGCCAGAAAGCTGTTTAGGTGTTTAGTAGTATTTGAATATTATCATTACAGACGAGCACTATGAACTTTTTGGTAGAGCCAGTCATCAAGTAGCTGCTTAATGGTTATCTGCAAGAGGGTTATAGGAAAAAAGACCCAGTAGATGATCTTGAATCAGTAAAATCGCACATCAATTGAAGAAAATAATGTAAACATGAATAAGAAATCAACAATAGTAAATAAATCATGAATTTTATTCAAAAATCAAACATTGGTTAAAATTTTGACTGAATTATATGTAATTACTTAATATTCAATAAGCTGATGATGTTTCAATGACAAGATGTCATCTCATACTTTGACAGTATTTTGTTTTCAACATTTCATAGCTATTGGTTGCTAAGATTTGTTAATTGGAACTTGAAGCTCATTCGCTGTATTTGACGGGCTGTTACCCTTTAGTTGGAGAATAACGGACTGTTGTTGATGAAATAGGCCATTATTATATTAAATTATCATATTAAACATTTTTCAAAAGATACAATAGAGAAAACAATAATGTGAGTGCTTTTCAAAAAGTTTCTTCTTAAAACTTATTTTTTGAACAGTTGAAATTTGCAAGCTGGAATTCGGAGTGATGAAGTTGATTAATGTATTTTAATGTCAAGATGGCGGTTGAGCTTCACCTTGAAACATATTTTTAAACGAAACAGGGTCGCTTGATCCCTCGTTCTGAAGCTTCTCATCGTAAATTTACTATTTGCTAAGTGGCGGACTGGTGAGCTTTCAAATTTGAGTATTTTTTACATTAACCGATCATCAAAAAAGCTGTAGTATATAAACCTTCCTTAGAAGGGTACCTCTAAAAGTATAATAAACTACAGGAAAATTTTTTTGAAGAATATGATATATTTTGACATTTTTTAATGGAATATTAATTATTTTATTATTTTTATTTTTTATTATTAATTAACTACTTATCACATTTTCGGGTATATCCTTTTGATTTAAGATGCTTTATATGACAAATCCTGTTGATAATTGAAAATGGTTGAACCCTATTCCTTAAATTTTTTACTTTCCGCCTTATGGTAGCGAAGATTTAAAGCCGCGAATTTTCGAAATTGAGATATTGCGCTTTTTGGATGTTATATGGCACGACAAACTATTTCACTCATTTTCATCGATCTGTCTGTGTGTCCGATAATTTTATAACCGCCTATAACTCGCATTCTGATGAAATTTTCACACAAGGTTACTATTGTGCCAAGGTCACACCGCTACAGAAGAAATATTTATATGCTTTAATTGTAAATAACTGTTTTTATATCTACATATATACATCTCAATCCGATGGATTTCTGGTATTGGAGAGAACTTAAAAAGATGGTTTATGGGGCTGATCCAATAACAACTGAAGCACAACTTCCCGAAAAAAATTTTAATGCAGCTGAAATAATAAATGACAACTTCGAGGACCTAGAGTAAGAAGAAACTGGGTTAGTCGTAATGAAGCCATCTATTATGGTTCTCTGAATATTTTGCCAGAAATATGCTTATATACGTATACACTAGTTTGATATGCACAGGTCGAAGATCGTATCTAAGTGGACCTACCAAATCACGATTCGATTTCGCCTTTTGAAATCTCCAACAAAGGCGTAGTTCAATCTAGTTGACGCCATTTCGTATGATTAAAGTCACAAAAACTCTTGCATTATGCACCAACTTGCATCTGCAGAGAATGGTTTCAACTAGCTTCATATACGCAGATTTTAATATGTGATTAAATACAAATTTTAAAGCTCTAAAGTGCATTTGTAACTTACACGGATCCTGGACTATCAACTACTCACAAAATGTCGTAGTCGTTGAACCCACCTTGAACGAAACTAGGTTTGACGTGCGTAAGTGTTTCAGTTCTCTCTCTCTCTCTCCCTCGAAGAACGACAATCACCATCCAATTCGGCTTTCCGTATTGATTATTTCCATGGATGTATGGATCGCTCTACGTCATTCGACCTCCCTCACCTCGCCGCAGTTCCTGGTTCCCTTATCTCGCTTGTAGTGTATGACCCCCTTTAGCACGTTTCCCATCTAAAACGCAGTTTGATCGAACATGAACCGCGCGGAGCACGAACGCGACGACGTCTTGAAAGAGCAGTACGGTTCTAAAACGAAATTATGCAAAAATCAAAATAGAAGGAAAAACAATCTGTGCTGGTGTTGCTTTTGGGGGAGCGGTAACGATGAGGAGGATGTAGCTAGTACCGAAGATCTGCATACGAATGGGTTGTATCGAAGGAGAAAATTTTTGGATGGTGACGTGCCTAAGGGTAGCAAAAGGATGAAGCCGCCCGTGATGAGAGCATCGGCGAAGGTGAACATTGTAAATTAAACCTTAAGCTCTCTATTCACAATGCCTCAATCTAGGTAGAGGAGAAGGTGTAAATATGGAATACCATTTTTTTGCTCGCTCCTATTTTAAAAAATATGATCAGAATTACGCCAAATTTGGGGAACGGGTACTCAAAGGATGAAGACACATCAATATAAACTCAAAAGTGTAATTCTCTCAAAAAAAATGTACAAAAAATAGTTTGAAAAAAAGTCGAAAATCATCACCTGAGAAAAGGTGGTGCAAATATGGAATACCTTAACTAAGCTAGAATATAATGCATATTTTTACAGTTTACTTGCACCAATCGCAAATATATTCGTCTTTTTCGGCCCCAGCATACTCGTTATGTGCCCACATTGAGCACATCAAACATTGCACCCATAATTCTCCTCTCTGATCAGCAGAAAACGCAGCCTGACAAAACATGCATGAAGCATCGTCCTCATTGGGTTTTGTATGCCCTGGCATACTCTCTAAATCACTGTCAGATTCATCAAGTCTTACATCTTCGGAACTTTCAGTTTCATCAGAAGAAACTTCGTTTTTGGGACCTCGGTTGGCCGCGTGGGTCAGAGTGTCATGCTACTGACCAGCCGGCCGGCCGGGTCGCGAGTTCGAATCTCGCCTTCGCCATGGATGTTGTGACGTCGTGTGTTTGTGCATAATTAGATATATTCTATATACCAACCTAGTTTCTGGCTGCATGGCTTAGTCCTAAAGCCAAAAAAAAAAAAACTTCGTTCTTTGGACGTTTTAATGTGGTCTGGATTTTAGGTTTTACGATCTTTGGTTTTGGTTTTTTAGGATTTATTTTTGGTTTCTTTTAATGCCACAAACGTTTGCCTCTTTTTCAGTTTTCTTATTTATTGACTCATTTAGTTCATCTTTGTATGGTGACGAGGTAATCACAGCCGAACCCATTACCTTACGTCCTCTGTTAGTTTTTTTGCGGATTGTGTTTGGAACTGGAGATATGTCAAACGGTGAAACGAATTCCTTTGTTATAGTGTCGTCAGCTTTTGAGTCAGAGCTTTGCTCTTTTTCTTGGTCAATCGTCTGAGTTCTGATTGGCACATTATCTTCGCATGAGGTTTTAGAGCGTGAAGGTTTATCGATATCGATAGACTCGACCCAATCTTTAGAGCAGGATGGTTTGTTAACGTCAACAGAAGCAGTGGTTTTAAGGTTTTCAATGCCAACGGTAATTCCTCTTTTTGCTGCTTCTTGTTCTGCAGCAATATAGTCAGCATTAGTAAAGACGTTTCTGTTAAAAGGGCAGATTCCAGTGACGCGAAAACCATTTGCCGCTATTGAGTAAGTCTGAACTTTTTCATAAGCTCTACCAAATAACTCCATAATGTCAAAAGGGCTCAGAGCCCGTTGGTTTTGGCGGATCCAAATACGAATCTCTTCACTGTAATAGACTTTCAATGGGTCCATCAATGACTTATCCAACGGTTGGAGGTTGTGTGTAGAGTGAGGAGGTAGACACAAAATAGTGACAAAATTTTCTCTTGCAAGATCAATAATTTCAATATTGCACGTGTGGCTGTAATGACCGTCAAGAATTAGCAGGATAGGGTTCTCTTTAGTTGGTTTAACGTATTGGATAAAGTGACGAAACCACTGGGTGAAAATACGGCATCGTACCCAACCGGATGGATGTGCAACTCCTATGGACCCAGGAGGAGCTCCTTTCATTAGCTGCATGTTCATATTTTTTCTAGGAAAAATAACTAAAGGAGGGACAAAGTTTCCAGCAGCACTCATACAAGAAATGACTGTAATCAAAGCCCCTCGCTCTGCAGATGTTAATGAAGCAATTTGGCGTTTCCCTTTAAGTCCTACTGCTTTTTATACTCTACTTTGGACAATCGTTAGGCCTGTTTCGTCTACGTTATACACGTTGTGTGGCGAGTAAGGCATTTGTCTTTCCAGGAGGTCAAAAAAGCCATCCACCCTTTCCTTACATAATCCTGCAGCTCTTGCAAAAGACGTACCCGTTGGCTTCCTTATTGACAATTCTGGATGCTGCTTCAAGAACAAATCAATCCACGCTCTGCCTGCAGCTCCTGATGGAAAAAATGGATGTTTAATTTTATTTCTTGCTGCCAACTGATAAGCCATGCGCCTCACGTCTTGGGATGTTAGGCCATAAAATTTGGACTCCATAGCTAAGATATAATCCACTAGTTCCTTCTCTAGCTTTGAACCCAGAATACATTTTCTTCCCAGCTTTGTTACTGCAGCACTCTCTGGAGTAACTGTGCCATCTCTACTAAGTCGAAAAAGCGTTGTTCGTGGAACGTTAAAGGATCTGGCTGCCTTGAGATATTCCATTGTTTTTTCTCTAACTGCTTTGATAGCTCTAGCCATGTCTTGTTCATTGTATTGCTTCCGTTTTTTAGGACTGGAAGGTCGACGATCTGTACATCGAGGCATCCTAAAAAAATAATAAACTTGAAAATACATTGAAAAAAAAAGTTGTGTAAATATGGAATGCCAGTATTCCATATTACCAACACTATACGTTTTCAATATTTGAGGTTATATCTAATCTATCAAAACAAAAACTTCAACAAATACAACGACATCTTAAACTTTAGTTCATGTAGACTGTCAACGTACAGAATATTTAAATAAAATCATGTAATAAAAAAAACTACACTTAAATAATGACTTACTCACTTACTCGAATAAAGTTCGAGGGTGCGTAAAACACAGGTGCACGTGTAACAAACAAAAACAAACTGAAATCTGCGCCCTGCAGTGTTTGGGTAATAAAGGATGATAAAATTCATAAGTTAAACCGAATTTTGATAGAGGGCGGCACGTGGTTTTTTCAAAACCTTGTTATTCCATATTTAGACCATACTCCATATTTACACCTTCTCGTATCTTGAAAAGTGACATTACACCTTTTTTTTTGACATTATATATGGTTTTTTTGTGACATTATATAGGTCTTTCTACAAGTTGTCAACTTAGCATTACCTGTTGTACACTTGGTGTGTACAAGGCTCCGTATGTGTACGTGTTGCCTAAATATCATGATGCTTCAGCTATCAATGCTTGTCTCTGATGTGATGCAACAGCTGCTTCAGAGATGGCATAATTGGAGGTCTAAGTTGTATCTTGTATACTATATCTGGAAGGAAACGGCAGGGCATAGGTGCATAGTGAGGATTTGTGTACTAGTAACACTGATAAACACAGGATTTGTGACATGACAATTTTTGGGTGTATCTTATGTATTTTGAGGCCCTTAAAGTAATTTAAAAATGAAGAATAAACTGACCCGTTAGGCAAGTAAATGTTGAAAATGGCCACCATGACTCTCCATGCAATAACAAAGATTTTGCTCAAAACGATGCCGCACATTTTGCAATATTTGAGGAGTACTTTGAAGGCACTCATTCACAATTCTTTGTCGCAGTCTTTTAATGATGTTGGCTGAGTAGCATAGATTTTGCTTTTTAAATGACCCCACATAAAGAAATTCAAAGGTGATAAATCTGGCGATCTTGGGGGCCATTCAATGGTACCTCTTCTACCAATCCATCGATCTGGAAACGTCTGATCTAAATATTGTCGAACACGTAATGCGTAATGTGGTGGGGCAATATCCTGTTGGAACACACTGGTCAACAAAATTTTAACTTTGTCGTGCCACACGGACTTTTTTGATATTTTTTACTTTAATTGGTGATTGTAAGAAAAAATAAACAGTTAAAAAAAATTTGCTAGACAAGGATTTTATTCTATTGAGTAATTTAAAATATTAAGAAAAAACACAGATCTCGTAAATCAAAAGTTATTTTTTTTTATAAATGACTTAATAATCTAAGATTTTCTTGAATATTTAGCTTCTGGTTGGTCACTTTTAATTGTCCAGCAGTAATCTGCTAACATATTTGGGCTCCATTTGCCCTGGTACCGCTTTTCCATATTAGAAATGTCCTGATGGAACCTGTCACCGTGCTCGTCGCTGACAGCCCCTAAATTGTCAGGAAAAAAATCCAGGTGCGAGTCTAAAAAATGGATCTTAAGTGACATGTTGCAACCCAATGCTTGATATGACAATAATAGCTCACTAACCAACTCTCTGTAGCTGTCACTCTTGTGGTTACCCAAAAAATTTGCAACAACATTTTTAAAAGCCTTCCATGCAGATGTTTCTAAATCGCTTAATTTTTCTTCAAATCTTGAATCTTTTATTAACTCCCTAATTTGAGGGCCAACAAAAATACCCTCTTTTATCTTTGCATCACTTATTTTAGGGAATTTTTCTTTTAGATACAAAAATCCACTCCCATTGCGACCCATTGCCTTCACAAAATTTTTTATTAATCCTAATTTGATATGCAATGGTGGTAGAAGCACATTATTTGGCTGTACAAGGAGTAAATACTTTACGTTTTTTTGCCCAGGAACTAACGATGCACGAGTAGGCCATGTTTTTTTTATATAGTGATTAGTTCTGTCTCGGCTATCCCATTCACATAAAAAGCAGCAAAACTTTGTATAACCCAGCTGAAGTCCAAGTAATAGTGTAACAACTTTAAGATCACTGCAGATTTTGAAGGAATATGTACTGTAATTTATTTTTTCAAGTAAAAGTTTCATATTTTCATAGGTTTCTTTCATATTTGCAGCATGGGCCAGAGGTACAGACGGAAGCTTATTTCCATTATGCAATAACACTGCTTTTAGACTTGCTTTCGAAGAATCAATGAATAAACGCCACTGAGAGAGATCAAAATCTATGTCCAACATTTCCATAATCTCATTTATGTTATTGCAAAACACCAAATCTCCATCCTGAGAAAAATACGTTCTGAAGTGTTGATCACGGTTTCGAAAATAGCTAACTTTTGTATTATGATGTAGCAAATTCCATTCTTTTATACGTGATCCTAATAGTTCTGACTGCTTTTTTGACAAATTTAAATCCCGAACCAAATCATTTAGGTCTCCTTGAGTTATCAAATGTGGCT